ATGCCGGATTTTCTACTGGGCAGGGAGGGTGTCGGTATCCCTAACCCCCGCGCGGTTCAAAGGTCAAGTGTACTCAAAAAAAAAAAAAAGAAAAAAAAAAAGAAAAGAGGGCAACGGGTCAAGTGGCCAAAATTCCTATAGGTCAGTGTAAAGCAAGGGTAAAAGGCGCGCCAAAGGGCCCTGAGGGTTCGGTTTCCCCTCCAAGCTAGGATTTGGCCAGGACTGAGGAAGGAAAAGGGCTGGCTCGGCAGGTGGCAAAAACAGAGGTGGGATAAAACAAGTAAAACGATGCAGGCGGGAGGATGGGCGGCCCGTTCCGACCTGAACACCCTGCTGAGATGTGGGGGAACGAACGTACAGGACTGAGGAGACCGGGCGTCCGGGGGGTGGCGTCCTCCTTGGAATGAAAGGACCCCACGGGCTGGATGCCCCCAAACCCGGCGCCCCCGGGACCTGCGCTCAAGCACCGAGAGCGGCGGCCTGAGAAGAGCTGGGCGGCCCAGGGCAGAGCCTCAGCGATGCCGCGGACCCGCGACGACCGGGCTCAAACAACCGAGACCGAAGCCCGCGTGGACACCTACCGAGCTCAGCACCCCGCAGCTCCCAGCGGCTCTGACGCCCAGGAGCCTCGTGGGCCTCCGTAGGGGCGCGGCCGGACAGCTCGGCGCATGCGCGGGGACGGTGAGTTGCCCGCTGTGCGCAGGCGCGGGAGCAGGGCCCGCCAAGAGCACGCTGTGTCCCGGCGTCTCTGCCTGGGCGGCCGCAGGTGAGTGCTCCGTTGTCGCGGTTCCCCAGTCTGGACCACCCGCCCAGCACGGGCCCGAGCGGGCGGCGGCCTTGGGTTGAGCAGCCTACGCGCCCCCGCGCCCCTATCCCGGCCGGGCTCCCGGGGCTGCAGGCGGCGCGGGCGGAGGCCGGGCTGCGCCGGGGGCTCGTCCCTGTTGCCTCCCCGCCGCCTCCCGGGAGCGGGTCCCCGGCCGTGCTGCGGCGTTTGCACGAGCGGTGCCGGCCCCGCAAGTCGCTGTGGGCCCGTCTGTCGGCGTCTTGGTTCCGAGCGCGTTCCTAGGCGGGGTGCAGGGCACGCCGGGGGCGCGGGAACTCGGGGGGTGTCGGGGAGGTGCGCTGGAGACTCGGGGCTCCGCGCGCGAGGACCCGGCCGGAGAGGGGTCCTGCTCCAGCGCTTCTCCGCCCGAGCTTGCCCTGCGGGTGTCGGGGAGCCGCCCTTGGGAAACGGGGGGCGCAGCAGCGCTTTAGAAGGCGGCGGTCGGACGGAGGGGCGGGTTCTCGGAAGCACCTGGACCCGTGCTGGGTCCCAGGAGGTGTTCCGCGTCGTTAGCTGTAATCATCAGCGGCGGCGTTCCTGTGACTCCGCTACCGCAGTTCTCTGAGCCCTGGACGTGTAGCGTGTGTAGGTCCTCGTGTTTGTGCTCATTTATTAGTTACTTGGGCGTCTGCTGTATGCCAGGCGCTGTTCTGTTCCCTAAACGTTTTCCATGATTATTAACATGTTCCCCGGCACGATTCTTTTACCTTTTTTTTTTTATTTCTCTGTTGCTTAATTTGTCGTGAGGTGTAACTGGCCAGAGTGTGAAACTATTAGTGGTTCATTCACCAAAAGCCCAGATTTTGAGTTGAGTTTCAATTTAGATCTTTCCCTATAAATGAACAGCCCCCCGGTTTTAGACACTGGATGAGCATGGGGGAAAGTCTGTGAGTGCCCTTTATTTTATTACTGGTTTTCCCTTCAGGAAAAACGCGGGTACTGGTAAAAAGCTTGCGTGGATTAGAAATGTTTTCTCCCTATATATATATATATATATATATATATATATATATATATATATATATATATATATATATATATATATATATATATATATA